ATTCAGTTTGTATTCTGAATAAAGTTACAATTGTATTATGAATATAATTCAATTACATTTTTTGTTTACTATCTGAAAGGAAAGGCTTGAATGCATGGAATGGCTAAATGTGGCAGTAGCCTTGTATTGATCTGTTTCTGCATTTGATTTATTTTATTGAAAGGGCATGATGTCTTGAACTAAATTGGGATCCACACATGTCTCCAACAGGCACTCCATCCCTTCTGTTTGCCCCCTTCGCTTACAAATGCTGTTCCTTCACTTTGCACTTCTAATACATGGCAAGATTCCAATGATTCCTGCCAAAAACTGGACTCAATTTTAATAACTTGGGGTCATAGGCTTCATTTTTGCCCTACTTTGGCCATATCTGATCATTTCCTTGTATAATCAGACTGGGTTGGGCCAGGAAGAATGGTGCCATTAGAATTCTGAAGTGTGGGTGACTTTTTTTTTTATTAAGCGAACATAACATTGAGACGCATTGCAAATGTTTCATGAAATTAACTAAAAATATTTTGTGGAGAATGCATTAGAATGGTATTAGTGTATTGCAGTGTACTGGGAATAAATGGCAATGCATGGAAACTGCTTTTATGAAAACATTTTGGAAGGCACAATATGGAGTTTATGTCTGGAGCAGATGAGTGAGTAATATTTCCTTAACAAAAAATATCATTCTCTTTCCTCTATCACCCAGCTTTTAATATGCTGTTTCAGAATTCAGATACACGTTATGAAAGCAATTATTTATAATGAGCTGAGGTGCTCTGTCAGATCTTCAGTGTGTTAAGCTCAGTGGCCTTAGGTTTTGTTTTAAGCATTTTGTATCTTCAGATTTAGTAAACCACTTACAGAGTGTTTTTTATAGACATATAAAAGCCATGCTTCTTTGATGTGGTGAACATGTGAATCAGTGCCTGTTAGGAGGCAGTTTCTTTCTTGAAATAAAATGTGCTGCATGTTTTATCATGTCTATCTTACATCTTGTAAGATTGCTTTTTCCTTTCTTTTTATTAACTTCTCCCCCACGCTAATTTATGATAAAGACTTATTTATTTATGTGAGGTATCTGCCATCTCAATTCAAGATGATAAGCTCAGTGGTATTTTACACTGAGATAAAGTGTCATCTCCTGTTCTTCCAGCTGGAAATAACTCTGTTGGAGTTCTTGGATGGTCTCTAATGGTCAGAGTAGACCAAAAGTAATCAGCTTTTGCCTCCCCTGGATTTTTTTAACCTATCTGCTGATTGGGGTTGATTGGAGTTGAGATCCATATCATCTGGAGAGTGCTAAATTATCAATCCTTGGAAAAGATAATAGATTAAATGGACAAATAGTCTAATTGGTATAATTTGTTTTCTGTTTACTTAGCTTCTAGTATAGAAGCTAATTGTGAAGGATACAGATTCCTTTCCCACCTACTAGGTCATTCTCCTAAATGAGTGCTGCCCACCCTAAGCAACTTCTAAATGTTGCCTTATGTGGAAGGACATTTGCAAATTTGTCCAGTGTTTTGGAACAAGAGAAAGAAATAGAGATGCAACTCTGTGGTACCTAAACACATGTACTCTAATTTAGGTTTTGCTGTTTAAAGAATAGGAAAAGAAATAGGTAGGCTTGATGAAGCAATTTTGTTGGCTTATGAGATTTTGTAAGGTATTACTCACACGCTTACAAACATTATCTTTGCTACTACGAGGATCAGAAATCAATGTACGTTTGAAAAATGAAAATTCTCATTTTTAGGAAGCATGGTTCTGCAAGTCACTGCCTACTATGATTGCATGTTGTCATTTTTCTGAAGTCATTCCAGCTCTATTGCAAATGGGCAATACTCTTAGTCTTAAACAGACTTTCATATTGCAGGTATTGGGTTTGGGAAAAAAATACCACACTCTCCTTGAATGATACCTAGAGCAATTCAAAGAATGAGAAAATTATGAAGTATGAAATACTGCTTATTCCAGAGTCCAGAGCTTAAAGTTACTGGGGAGTGCCATAAAGTTCTGCCAGGGAATCTTTTCCTTTCCTCCTCCCTCTCCTCCTCCTCTTCCTTTGTGTTTGATAAAGTTTTAACTGATGTTGCTTTACATTAAATGTTTCACAATGTCAGAATGGACATTTTTTGTAAAATTGCATTTGAGTTTATGGAATTCTAGGCTACAAAGCTATCATTCTGGGCAACATAAATAAACAAAACTATACAAAATATTTTAGAATATAAAGAGTCAGTCCAAAGCTTTAACACTTTCATAAACCCACAGCATAAGTAAGAGAGGCTGAATTTTTGTCAGACGCACTAGAAAGGTGGCATAAATTGTAACTATAGCTAGGTATGATCTTAGTGCTTTAAATGTCATTTGGATTTTAGAAAATAAAAATAAAGTTTACAGTAGATTACATTACTGACATGGCCTTGAAGGAGAATGTAACTTTCATGAACCTACAGATTTAAGTCTGAACATCCTTTTAATTGGAATTTTTATTCATATTGCAAACATTCTCTTGAAGTATTGTTATCTTTTTCATACAAGATATAAGCAAGCTGTTAACAATATTAATAGGGCTTGTTTTGGGAACTATGTATGACCTCAGAGAAGTAGAGCAAATGACACTCAGTGTAACTTCGGAGGACACGGGTAGTCCTCAGTATAAGAACAAGTTCCGTTCCCAAGGTCTATCCTTAAGTTGAATTTGTATGTAAGCTGGTATTGTATAATGAACTCGAACCATTGTGTACTAAACTCGAATCATTGTGTATTTAACTTGAATTTTGCTATAGTAGGCTCTGTTCTTAACTATGGGTTGTCTGTAAACCATGTTCTTAATCCACTTGAACATATGTTTTGTTGAAAAGTTTCTCAGTTCATATCCATAATAAAGATAAAGATTCATGAGAAGGGGGAATAGTACAAATTTTAGGGGTTAGTTTTTGTCATTTAAAATTTGGTGTCCTCATGCACATCAAAGTATGGGGGCTGCTGCAGGTAACTGAGTACTAGGTTTTACTTTACTTTACTTTACTTGGGTGGAAATCTAAGGGCTACATATGTTAAATATGTAGTGTGCTCTTTTGTTTTTGTGGACACTATTCTGTGCATGTGTGTATGTGTTTGTGTGTATGTCTGTGTTGGAGACTGATTTTAATTTAATCTCCACATGCATTACATGTGGAGATTAAAGGATGAATTACCACCTTCCCTCTGAAGCTGATTTTTATTTTTATTTTTTCCCCAATGGGAAATTTTTAAAATTCTTTCTTCCATGGGAAGGGGGAATCGCATCAAGACTTTAGAGCAAGACTGAACAACCGTTTTGATGACTGGAAGATGCATTTTAAATTTCTCAGAGATAGGCTGCTGTGGATGGAATGGGACAAAACTAATTCGCACATGGATTGGGCCACCTTTTCTGGGTTTAGTTCCAGAAAAAGGTGTTTGGAGGCTGCATGTGGTTATACAGTCTTTGCTAGTACTTTAGAGTGGATATAGGTGCCTCATTTTGCTGCATGTATGGTCAAGGTTTTGTTCACACATGCAGCAAAATTAGACAACAAAGAGCAAATGTGGGTATCCCATTTCTGAATGCTTTGTTCAGTGAAAAGGCCTTTTCCCTCATCAGGATTCCTGTAGTGCTTATTAAAGAATGGATGGTGAGGCAAAAAAGTGAATATTTTTGCTACCCATAAATACAAATTTAGTATTTCTTTCCTGAGGAATGTTTTAAGGACATTTGTTCTAGAGTGGAGAAGCCTCCCTGTACTCTAGTACAGCAATCTGTAAAACCAAAGGTGTTATTTAATCAGTTCATTCAGGGTTGTGTGAACAGTTCTTAAACTGATAACCAGAAGTGAGACTAAGCATCTCCTCCAGAGAAAGGGAACTTGCATGGGTCTCCCAATAAGATGCACAGAGTAAACTCTGGTACTGGCTTACCTCAGATTTTGGTGCCAGTGGCCTTGCTGTTCTTGCTCCTCTGAGCCTCTGAGTGCTTGCCTCCACCGTATACAGGACTTAAGTGGTGGCAGTGCTTTCAGAAGGCATACATAGCCAGTAGAGGTGCATCAAACCAGCCTCGCATTGTGTATCCTTCCCCAGGACTTTGATGGGTGAAGCTGGATTTCTCCCTATCAGGCCAGCTCTGGTCTGCCTCTTTGGTTGTGAGTGTCAGAACTATATGTAGATAACACCACTATATATACACCATTGGTAGATCTGAAGGACCAGGCTGGAGAGAGATCCTCCTGGAGAAAATCTGTGTGGTTACTAAGAATTGACATTGACTTGATGGCAAATAATCAGTCAATCAGTCAACTAACAAATCTACATAAAACCGCCAAAGGTAGTTTATTCTTTTTCAACCTGATGTTCTAAAGTATTGGACTAAAACTGTCATGATCCCATATTTCAGGGCATCATACTGAGTAAGCCTATAATAGGGTGCGGACTTTTTCAGTATATAATAAGTGTTTCAAGTAGCATACTTCTCTATTCCTGGTTGGAGAAGGCTCTTTAAATAGATGGGAATCATTGTAGAGCAATTTGATAGCTTTCAGCTGAGCTGTTTGCCTTATGGAGAGAGATACAGCACAGAACTTATAGAACAGTGTTATAAAACTGGTGTTGAAAGTAGGCAGTGTTTCCTTCACAGAAAATGCATATATTGTATGTATATGAAATTTAAATTATGATAGGAAATTTAAAAAGAACAATTTCAGAGATCTAATTTTATTCTGGCAAACCAATATAATTCTTAATTTTTACTTTAATAGAACCCTTGTTTATGTAAGAAAGGCTAGGGAATTTTAATAGTTTAATAGATTAATAGGAAATCATGTTAATATAATTGTTTCAAACATCTACATTTCTAAATTTCTTCTTTTTAAACAAATAGAGGCTGGGTGCTTTGTAGTTTTGTAAGCAGAAACATTTAATCGTTTCTTTCTGTGCTTTTCACTTTTTAAAAAGGAAACATCTTTTTTTTTTTGTATCTGCAGAATATTTTAGCTCTCAACCCCCGTGTACAAACTCATGCATCTTTGAATTCAACTGCAGCAAAGAAACATGAGAAAAAACACTGGAAAAGAAATGCGGATAAAAGCTGTTCAGTAAGTATCACAACTATTATTGCTGCCTTTGGAAAATGTTGCATCTGGGTGAAAGCTGAGATCCTTAATTGTACACTACATTGGAATAATTGTATATCTGTAAGCAAGCATCATGTTCCTTATCTTCCAAACTGTGGCTTGCAGTCTTGCTTTGGAGAGCTTTCTCAACCTATTTTTTAATGGCTCAAATGACATGGCAAACTGAGGTTTGATGTATTTAGGAAATGTCAAACCACAATGCAAGAGGGGGTAGAAGGAACATGACAACCAGCACTTCTGGCTTTTCCCCTACTCTACAAGGTTCTTTGCACCAACTACCTTATGGGAAGGATTCTGGAAGATAGAAAAGGTGGTTTCCTTCTTCTCTCAGTTGGTGGTATTATTACCACCAACTGCCCTGTGAGAAGCATTTCAGACATTTGTTTATCTGCTTGATTTAAAAGAACATCTATTGTATTTTTATTTACAACTGTTTTGATTACTCTGTTATCCTGTAAGGCTGGACATAAATAATTGCAATAAATACAGAGAAAGGATAGGATAAATCTCAGCTTCTCACTTGTTTTTATGTCTGGATTTCCTTGGAAAATGATGTATTTTTGTCAGGCCCAGCCCTAGAACAACAACGAGGCAGTCCAGTCCAGTATAGTTCCTTTATTAGCTTACACCCTAAAGACAGAATCTCGCCAGACTAAATCTATGCTAAAGCAACTAGTGGATATACCCCGTGAGACTCTAGGGAGGGGCTAGTCTAAGCCTCTTCTTCTTCTCATGATCTTGCTGCAGGCTGAGAAAGCGCTTGCCTTGTACCCTCTCCTGGAATGTACTTGCTCCCTCCTGGTAGCCTTGATCTTCCATTCCAGTATCCTCCTCGCACATGCCTTCCATTACAATTTTTGCCCTAGCTCTGAGGAAGAAAATGTATTCTGAAATATTCAGGATTGGTGTTTCCAATCTTGGACATTTTAGGATGGAGCAGTGGCAGGAAGTGACATGGAATAGTCTGGAGCAAAAAGGATGGTGCTTCCCTGAGTGACACACTTGAAGGAGAGAGGGAATGACATCTAAACAGAGGTTTATGAGACATCAGACACCAGCCTGGGAGTTTGAGTGGCTTAGAGTTGCTTCTTACAGTTCTTCCCTCCCTCCCTCCCTTTTGAAAAAGATGTTGGACAGAGGTAATGTAAACACTGCTGTAAGTGGCAGAGATCTGTGAATTCAAACCACAAACACAGATTTAAGTGTGGTATGAGAGGCCATGTGGTGTAGTGGTTAAGAAGTTGGTCTAGGACCAGGGAAACCCAGGTTCAGGTTCAACTTAAGACATGGAAACCCACTGGGTGATTTTGGGCACATCACTTTCTTTCATCCTAAACCTACTTAACAGAATTGTTGTTGTGGGTTTAAAAAAGAAGGGAAATTCCCATGTAAGCTGCCTTGAGCTCCTGGAGGAAAGGTAGGATATAAATCTAACAAAATGAATAAAACAATGTGGCAGGGATTGTTGATTTTGAAATAATGCCTCAGGCTTGTTAGCTCTGGTGGGAGTGACGAAAGGAGCTATGAATGATTTAATGAGCCATTTGCAGTTTCGCTGCTGTAGAGGCATAAAAATAAATAAATAAGTTTTGTGCAGTATATTACATAAACATTTTTTTTCCAGAATATTTTTAAGTTGAAATATGGTAACCCTAATTAAGAACAAAAACAAAATCTATCTAAAACACTACCTTTATTATATTGGAATGCAGCCTTGACCTTAGGAGTATATTTAGGAATTTTGAGAGCATGTAGTGGGGGCCTATTTACAATATGTCTGCCACAGTGTGCATGGCCAATCACAAATCATCCTTATCAGAAGGCAAACTAATCCCCCAAATGTATTTTATAATCCCAGTGGGAACTTTGTAGGGTTTAAAGTAATTCCTGCGAGTGGATATGTTGGTCAAGTATGATATTACTTATGTTTTATGCTTGATATTGTAAACCAGCATGAATCTTTTTGGAGAGAGAGAGAGAGAGTGTGTGTGTGTGTGTGTATGTATATATACATACAGATATATGTATGTATATATTTCAAGTAATGAAGCAAGGGTGGCATGCTCCAGAATTCCATTAGTAGCCCCCAGCACCCTACAATTATACCAGTGAAATTGCATGGCAAAAGGGAACCTTTGTAGTACAGAAGTGGAAGAGGAAGAAGAAGAAGAAGGAAGAAGAAGAAGAAGAAGAAGAAGAAGAAGAAGAAGAAGAAGAAGAAGCCGCCACCGCCGCCGCCGCCAAAAATAATTGGACCTTTAGAGGCTGAAAATCAGCAACGTAATTTGGGCTAAAGGATAAGAATGAAAATGGCTTGCCACCCAGAGCCTTCCTGCTCTCATCCCACCCATAAACCTTCCAAAAGACAAAAAACAAAGGGTAGAAAAATGTAGCCTTTTCCCTTTCTGTGACATCCTGCAGCCCTCTGGAATGTTGGGAGCTTGAGTTCCAGCCACCAACCAAACTTTAACCTCCCTGATGTTCAAGGCTCTTGCTTAGATCTGCAGGATACCAGCTTCCTAATTATTTGATTAAAAATAACAGTAAGATGGGACTTCAGTAAGATGGGATTGGAAGCTTCTTGTCCATCAAGGGAAATATTTGGGGGCACATTGGTGCCAGGACACTGTTTTGCCTATTCTTTTTTTTAATTAAGACCAATTAGATTAGCAACAACAATAAAAATGCAAGCTTCTCCAGGGACAGAAGGGAGAGGAAAGAAGGGCAAATCAATAATAAAAAAAAGGCTGGATGTTTAAAAGTGTGGGATTTGTAATTTGGAGTCAGCCCTGTGTGGAAATACTGACTGCATGCATTCACTTCATCTGATGCTGTCTCAGATTATATCCAATCATGAAGAGCAAAGGGAATGTTTATTTATTTATTTAAGTGATTTGTATGGTTGCCCATCTCACAACAGTGACTCTGGATGGTGTACAAGGATTGAAACAACAACAATAACATATAACCCATGATGCCCAAGGCTAAAACCGTAAACCCCAAATCATAAAAACCACAGCACCAGCAGAACTTGACTAACTTCCTGGCTCAAGTGCCTGGGGAAACAACTATGTCTTCAGAGCTTTACGAAAAGGCTAATAGTCCTGTATTAATTACTCCAGCGCAGGAAACATACATGTCTATGGGAACTTTAAAAAAAAAAAACTCCCCCACCAGTTGCTCTGCACATGGGGACAAAGGGACATCACAGTGATTAAATAAGCAAGGCCAGAAAAAAAGGCAGAACAGATCCTCAAAGGATGCTGTTGTGTCCTGTTTCTAGCTAGAATGGCTGTTGGGCTTTGCTTGGCAAAGATGGTTTCACATTGATAGAAACAGCTTCCCTTGGATTTTCAGGGAAGCAATGGCAAACTGAAAATGGCTCCAGAGTGGAGTCGATGACCATGGTGGAATGAGAAGCTGGCGAATGGACCGGCTTCTCAGAATTCCTCTCTGGACAAGGAGAGGACTTGGGATCACCCACAAGCACTCCTGACAGTAGCTCCTCATGAGGACACTATAAGGCAGCAGTCTCTGGTAGGTTTAGAGCTCTGGGAGTTGAGGTATTGCCATCTTTGCCCAAACCACAATTCAGAGCCTTCAAAAGGACACTGAGTTTGCATACTTCCTCTTTTAATTACTTCTGGAAATTGCTTGTTAACTTCTTTTTGGATATTAGGAATCTTCAGAACAGCACATTTTATTACACCGGGTGAGTCTCCTTCAATCCCTAGCAAAAGAAATTTTTTATGCAAGTTTAAGGACTTTAAAAAATCTTACTTTGGAATAAACAGCAGAAGGGTGATTGGAACGTTGATTCTGGAAAGTTATAAATGGACTAAGGGTTCAGATGGTTTTAAAATAAGTTTTTGAAATTAATTACAAGAATCCTTCTTGTGGGAAAATGCTGTTGGTTAGAATTATATTAAAACATATATGAAGATTTTGAAATTAAATGTAAGAAACAGCCTGTGGGAAAATGCTTTTCATTAAAAAAGTACCATGATAAGATGGGACTTTGAAGGTTGGACACTAGAGGGAACCAGAAGGAACTAAAGATTATAATTAAAGGAGAAGAACATTTAAATTCAACCCACTAATACAGAATGGAGCAAAATATTTTCACTTTGGATGAATTCAATAAAATTTGGGAACAATGGGCTCAGAAGTTAATCTTAAGATTGTGTGCTATTTTTAAATATTGGTTATAGAAGAGGAGCAAGTTTTACCAAATGAGACTGAGACTCAGGCTGATTCGAATGTGGATTTAAAAATGACACTTTAAAAGAATGGTATGGAAAAGTGTGTTATACTGGATATATAAATGAAACTGGCTTATGTCTTAATAATTAAAAGGGAGATACAAACAACAAACCAGAAGAGTTACTTGGATAACTTTCTTATTTTAGATTTACAAAAGAAAGTTTTGAAGGATTTTCTGAGAAGAGACAAAAAAAGAAAAGAAATCAAATTTGGGGATATTATTTAAAGGGATTAAAGATCAAGACTGTTAAAAGCAAAGGGAAGGAATATAAAGTTGGTTTATTTGATCAAGGTTAAAATATATAT